TTCTTTCTTTCTTTCTTTCTTTCTTTCTTTCTTTCTTTCTTTCTTTCCTCTCTCCCTCTTTCTCCCCCCCCTCCCTTTCTCTCCCTCCCTCCTCTTTTTTTGCAATGCTTTTTTTTTTCCAGCCCAAAGCCTCTCCCGATGTTTTCCTCTCCATTGTCATAGCGCCGGACTGCAAGGGGGGAGACCTTAGGCGCGCGCGCACGTACACACACACACACACATACATACACATGTGCATGGGTTGAAGAGGTGAGCTGAGAGTTATGGAGAGGTCTATCAAGCACAGAGGCAACGACAAGGGAAGGGGATCAAAATGGGAAGCCTCTGCCCATTAAAAAAATCAGTAACTGCGGAGCTTCCCCTTTTGTCCACCCTCCCCTCTGGTACCTCCATGCCTGATGCCAAAAGGACAGTTCTGCCTCTGCCCCCCCCCATGCCACCACCGTTCACCTTCCGCTTCCCCCCCCCCCCCAGAGCCTTTGTGGCTTGCAATCTCCTATGGCTACTGCCCATGGTGCACTAGCAGGTGGAAGCCCCCTGGGTCCCATGCCCTCTCCTTCCTACCTTTTTCTTCCTCAATGCACAGGTAGGGACATGGCTTTCCCATGTGGGGGTGGGGTGGTCCCAGGAAAAAGCCAGCGAGCAGGGCATGTAGGCACCCATATCACCAGTGGCCAGCCTTAGATCCACATTACCGCCTTGGCCCCATCCCTGGGCATGAGCACAGGAGGCTCCAAGCATGCAAGGACTGTGCTGGCATCCTGGATGAAAGGTAGCGCTCAGCAAGCAGTCCCCAGGGGCGCCAGGCCCTGCGCGCTCAACACCTCACGTGCACGCCCAGGGAGTGGTGCTGAGATGGTGCTGCAGATGTAAGGCTGGGCCTGGGCAAGGAACCAGAGAGCAGCTAGGCCATGGGTGTAATTCTAGGCGAGCAGCCAAGGCAAGGGGCAGCTGGGAGGGGCCAGGCGGGGTGGGGAAGGGCCAGCCAGTGGTGCGATCAACCAGTTTGCCGAACTAGGCAAAAAGTTAACAAGGGGTTCGGCCAAACTGGACAGAACCGTCTGAATCCCATTCCTGATTTCAGATCATTACACACAACTTGTAATTTAAAGAAAGGTTTTTAATATGTAGCTATTCTCTTAAATCATGGAATACATAAATAAATTGTTACTAAGAAATACTGAATCACATGTTCAATTTCCACAGCCCATCTTTGCTCTATTGGAAAATACACATTAGCAACGTGATCTTTAAATACCATACTTCAAAAGAAAACAATTCCACAAACACAAAAACATTATATAATTGTGTCACATTATTTATAAATTCTAAGTTTACTTACCCTAGCAAGAGTTCAGGAGAACGATACCATCTGGTGGCAACATATTCTGTATAGTTCGCATTGCTACCTTCTGACAAATTCCGTGCAAAACCTTCATTAAAATAATATTAAAGTGATCTTAACTTATTGGTAATTCGCTAATTTATTATCTTTTTAATCCTGAAATTCTATATATGGATAAGGTTTTTAAAAGATTAGACAAAATAAAACACTGTAACATACTTATTAACCAGGAAAAGAATCTTGACCATTTGAAATTAAATATTAAAAGGAAATGCAAATTCATTTGCATTTGAAGTTTATTTTATATATCACCAGATGCATTCAGGTACATTAATGAAATAAAATATTAAACTTTCCAAGTCCAATAATTTCAGCTTACACAATAAAAACATATATAGAAACTTCTTTGCACTTTACAGAAAACTATATGTGTATCAACTTGGACAGAATAACGTCATTGGATATGCAACTTAAATGGTTTGATCATGGTGTGTCCCATTTTTACATTAAAACTGTAAGTTTAGATAAGTGCTCAGGTGACTAATTCTACAGTTGTGAGTGGGAATAACCTCAGTCACAAAAAATGAAATGGAACCTGAATCACCATAGTATAGTAGTAGTGTGATTTGTTGAAAGTGTTAAATTCTTAATGTTCTTCAATTTTCTTAGTATCAGAAAATGCACTACTTCTGCTTCAGCAGATGCTTGTAATTAAGCAAGCAAAAGGCTTTTTGCTTGCTTAATTACAAGTATATCATCCAATACATAGGACAATATACTTGCAATCTTTAGAGTCTCTTATGTATAGCATTTCTAATCTTATCAGATAGCTGAAAAAAAAGGATACACTGTTCAGCTAATTTCCAGTATTACAACAAAGAGTATTGGCACTTATTTTCAGGATAATATGTTTTAAGGCTATAGCTTTTAAAGTCAAAAGTTGCCCTAGTTTAACAGCTAAACTCACTATGTGTTTTATCTAGCAGACAGACAGATAGGCAGACAGGCAACCAGGGGTGGGCCGCTGGTGGTTCAGGAGAGCCCCTAGCTAAGATTCTGTGTAGTTCGGAGAACCCACTCCTGGCTGGCCCTGCCCACCCCACTTTGCCCCTCCTATGAGTCCTCACGTGGCCCATTTTGGATGCAGGTAAGTACAAGGTGCATGCAGAGGCTCAGAGAGGGCAAAAAATGGGCCCGTTTCTGGCTTCCAGGGAGCCTCCGGAGCCCGGGGAGGCCATTTTCGCCCTCCCAAAGGCTCAAAGAATGCCTCCAGAGCCTAAGGAGGGCGAAAAACGGGCCTCCTGGAAGCCGGAAGGGAAGGCCAGAAATGGGCCCGTTTCCAGCTTCCAGAAAGCCTCTGGAGCCCGGGGAGGCTGTTTTCGCCCTCCCAGAAGCTCGAGGAAAGTCTCCGGAGCCTGGGGAGGGCAATAATGCCCCCCACTGTGGTTCAGGAGGCAGATTAGGCACGCCCATCATGGCCATGCCCACCCAGCAACCAGGCAGAGAACCCTTTGCTAAATTTTTTGAAGCCCACCCCTTTAGGCAACCTATCTTTCATTTTGCTTGAACAGTCTTTCAAATAAGTTTCTCCGCCATTAATGATCTTTTTTACTGAAGCATTTCACATTTTTAAAATTTTTTGACTGACCTCCCCCCCACACACACTGAAGTCAGCACTCTAAGACACCATGAAAAATACTAATACAAATAGATTTCTTGTGTTCTAGTTATACAGGTAGTCCTTGACATATTACCATTTAACAATGGCTTAAAGTTACAACAGAAAAAGTTATTTGACCTGTGCTCACATTTATGACTTACGGTCATGTAACCACAATTCGGGTACTTGGCAACTGGCTTGATTTATAACCTGCTGCAGTATCTTGCAGTCATGTGATCGCAATTTGCAAACTTTTTTGCTGATTTCCACAAAAAATGTCCACTGGGAAAGCTGGATTTACTTAATAATCACAATTTGATTAACGATCCTGGTGAGTTGCTTAACAACCGCTGTAAAAAATGTTGTAAAATTGGAAAACTTCCGGTTTGTCGGCTTCGTGAGCAGCAGGGATTTGCGAAGCTGCGCGATCCCTGCCGCGCTAGCCGTTTTTGGGGCTCCGACCCAGCCGGGTACGGAGCTAGGCTGCCCTGCAGGGGCAGCTGAAGTAGGGGGGATCCGGAGAAGGGTTTGGGGGTGCTGCAGACTCCCTCCCTGGCCGGCAGAACTCCCTTTTCCCAGGACGGTGCAGCGGCGGTCTGTAATGACCGCCACAAAGAAGCTGGCAGCCGGGTAAAAATGCGCAGGAGGAAGTGGAGAAAGTGATTGAGAGGAGAAAGTTTTTCTTGGCTCCTAGGACTCTAAGACATATCTAATAAAATTCCTGAAAAGTATGACTTTCTGAATAATACCTGCCAGAAGAGGAAAAAAGCGGCTGTTTGAAGGTGCTGAAAGGATAGCTTTCCCTCTTTTCCTACGGAATAAATAACTGGATATTAAGAAACCTATTTCTTTTAGGTGAAAATTGGTTTTAAGCGATGAGTGGGAAGAGAGAGGATTAAAAAGAAAACATTTGTATGCTAAGACTTTGTTGGAGCAGATGCCTTAAGGATTTGAAGACTAGAATATATTGCAATAAGATTTTAAACAGATTTGTACTTTCTTTCTCTTGGATTGATATTACCCCAGAAGGAGAAAGTGAGAACTCTGCCTTGGTTTGGACTGACTGATAACTTTGGGACTGTTTTATTTTTTTTATTTTCTTTTGAATATTCTGGTTGTTGTAAGAAGAAAGAAGGGGAAAAGAAAAGAAAAGATTTATAATGGCTCTTTCTGTTGAGGAACTAAGAAAAGAATATGAACAAGCAAAAAAAAATGGTAAAGATGGTGTGGAAGAAGCTTTCCTTTTCTTAGAAATGGCGCTTATTAATTATCAACAAACATTACAACAGATGAAGACAGCAGAGGAACAAGAAAGAAAGAAAGGAGCCATTTTTAATGAATCTCAGAACTTGATCCAGAAAGAAGGAAGAGAGAAAGAAAAGAAAAGAAGAGAAAAGAAGAAAATTAAAGGACTTAAGGACTTAAGATCTAAAAAAACATTTAAGAAAGGGAAAAATAAGGTGCAAAACCAATATGATGATAGTAAACAAAAGGGAAAAGGAATACGACAGAGAAGGGAAGCTGGCAAGGCAGAGGCTAGAAGAAGGGGGGGTAGAAAGGTTTGTTGGGAGAAGAAAGAAAGGGAAAAGGTGGAGAAAAGCTACAATGTTTTGAAATTAAATGAAAAAAAGAAATTTTTTTTGGATAATGGATAAAGTATAATTTTTTTTAAAAAAAAAAGATTTTGCAAGGTACATAAGATGAGATGGTAGTATTGTAATGATTTAAGAGTTGATAAGAGATTAAAATGTTAAAATGTTTAAAAATGATTGGCTTTAAAACTTAATAATAGGGGAGGTTTAGAATATTGTTTTAATTAAAGAGTTTAATAAGACTATGGTATTGATGTTATTATAAAATTTTTATTATAGTATCTTTTTTTAATATTTGGATTTATTGTCTAATTATGTACTTAATTATGTTGGATGTATTAGTTAGATAGAATGTACCAAGCAAAATCGGATTGGGTATTAGATATTATTTTAAAGATTAATTTGATTAACTTAGGGGGGAGATAGAAAGGCATCATACTCTGATTAGGAGAAGGAGAAACTTATTTTCTTTTTTTTTATAAGGAATGAGACAAAGGGATGATAAAAAATGGACAAAAGATATAAATATAATGATTCAAATTAAGATGATTAATTAAGATAGAAGTAAGAAGTGTGAAATATGTGGGGAAGTTAATATAGAAGGTTTAGAATGGTAAATAAAATAAGTAATGATATGTAAGATGAGCATGAATATAATTGAAGTCCATGAAGAGAGAGACATCTGGGTCCAAGTTACTTTCCAAAAAGATTTTTTTTTATGTTTTGTGTGTTGTGTGTATATGTCTTTTTGGGGGGAGAATTAGTTAAAAATTGTAGAAATATAGATTGAGAATAATGGTAACTAAGTCAGAAAGAAACAGATGAAATAATAATAATGATATTGAATAAGAGTAAAGAGAAGTAAAGAGAAATTGAATAAGAGGTTTTGGTATGTTGTATGGAAATGGTTTAAAACAGAATTATAATTTATCTGACTTGTTAAATTGACAATGAAAAAAGGTTTAAACATGTAATGAATAATGACAATTTGTGTGTTTTAAAAATTAATAAAACTTGTTTTAAAAAAAAAAAATGTTGTAAAATTGGATCACCTTATGATTGCAATGACTTACAATGGAAATTCCGGTCCCAATTGTGGTCATAAGTCAAGGACTACCTATACAAATATTAATTTTAGTATCAGTAAAACTGCATTTCCCAGTAATAATAACCAAAATATTGCTAACCAGTAGAACAACTACTGTTTAGATAGCATACTGAGATGACATGATGGAATGTTTTTTAGATTTCAAGGAGGGTCTGAATTCCAGAGGAACAACAGACAGCAAAGTTTGGATAATTTGGTTGAGAGATAGAGGGTCAAGACAGCTTCTCCATGAAAGTTCTTGGGTATATTTTAATGATGCAAGTAGTTTGTTTTTAGCTTTGAAGATTCTGTCTATGGGTGTAGAACAATGAAGGAAACTGCTTAGAGGAAAAATAATGTGGTTTTCTCAGTTTTTTTAGTATTTCAGTATTGTATTAAACTATAATTAAAAATGTTATTTACTGTCATAAAATAATTCAAATTATAAAGAATTGTAATAAAGGTATCTCTTTAATATATTTTTAAAAAGCCTTACCAAAGTCACACAATTTCAAAATATCATTGTGGCTTATTAGGAGATTTTCTGGCTTGATATCTGAAATATTCAAATGCATAGCAAATAGTTAATGAATCACAACATATACACTGTTCTGCATTAACAGGCAACTGACTCCAGAGATGGTATTCAGCAGGTTCTGACCAGTTCTGGAGAACCAGTAGTGGAAATTTTGAGTAGTTTGGAGAAGCAGCAAATGCCACCTCTGACTGGAGATTTTACAGTAGCTTTCCCCTGCCACTCCCACCAAGCCATGCCCACAGAACCGGTAGTAAAAAAAATTGAATCCGACCACTGACTGAAACAGTACAGCATGTTATTCATTTACTGCATTTATACTCTCCTTTTCTCCAAACAGTCAAAACGGCATATTTTGGAAGGAGGGTTCCCCTAATTTTAATTCCACAACAGCCTTATGAGGTAATTGGGCTGAGAGTGAGTGACTGGCCCAAAGTTACCCAGCTGGTTTTTTTGCCTAAGGGACAGGTAGAACTCATAGTCTCCAGTTTCCAGGCTAGCATTTTAATCACCACAGCAAACTGGTTTTCTTTCAAATTCAGGAATTTTTTGTAAAGAACCTTCAGCAATAGAGACATAATGGCCAAATGTCAAACTGTAGTTGTGGGTGCTCCAACACCAAATGTTTTTAAGAAGAGATTGGACAACCATTTGTTTGAAATGGTATAGGATTTCCTGCTTGAGGAGGGAGTTGAACTAGAAAACCTCTAAGATTCTTTCAAACTATTACTCTGATGAATTTTAATAGACAATGACTTCTCACTTTCCAGAAGTTACTGAACCATGATAATAGAACAACCAATAGAAAGTATATTGGAATAATAGTTACCAAGTTTAACTAAACGTCTATAGTAAAGGAAAGCTTAATACTAGTCTAGGGGAAAATATTTAGTTTTTAAACCTGAAGTTCAGTAACTGATTAAATTCAATTATGAATACATTTTAATGAAATTACAATTACAAAATTTATTAAAAAATCATCAGAATAAAGAAATGTATTAATGATAAAGAGACACGAGCAAAATGAAAATTACAAATTATTCACAAAGAGTATGTTATTTAGATTCATTAAAATCAGTGGGATTTCTTAGCTAACTCCCATCAATTTTATTTTACAAGTGTGTGCATGTCTGTATTATTATCATGAAGAAAATTATGCCTCATGTATTATTTTAAATTAACAAATAGACAATAAATTTACAATAATTGGTGAAAACAATTTTCTTGCTAAAACATATTTAGGCTTTCAGGAAAAGATACATTATAAAGTTTAATTTACTTACCTCTATGAACAATATCATTTTTATGACACCAATGAATTGCTTTAATCAGCTGGTAGATATAACTTTTTGCTTTTTCAGGAGGGACTCCATTTGGCATTTCTTCTAGCAACTCAAGCATATTCTATGTTCAACATCATTAAAGACAGAAAGAACTAAATTACAAATTCTGCAATTTAAGATTTATCCACTACCTAGAAATGTGTTAAACAACCATTAATGGCTTGTAATATGGTCCTCTTGTACAAGAGAAATAAAAAACAGCATTCATGATCATTTAATTTATACAATAATAGCTTGATACCCGTGCTTTGCAACTAAACTATGTAGTCCAGCTTAGTTTTTTGGGAGGAAAATAATGAAAAAAAAAAAAAAATTCTGCCTCTGCCTACCAGCATCCATCTTTATTCATCTGGCTAGTGTCCTGTCAGTGTGTGAGAGAGTTGAGGCCTGTTTGGAAAGTGAAACAGTATTTGCTGTGTGAGCAAGGAGACAGCAAGGAGCCTTGGCGTGGCTTAGCTCAACTTTTCTGTACTAAAGGTGCTGTGAAACTAAAACTGCAACTCCTCTCCTGCTTGTGTTTTGCATTTGGAACAGATTTCTCTTCAGGTGGTGAGGGGGAGTTGAACTCCTTAGCATTAGAGCATATTAATAATAATATAGGAAATACTAATGCTCTGATGGTCATTTTGAAAAACTCTTTCTTAGTGAGCACCTAGAAGCCAAGAGGAACATACGTGCCAAATTTCAAGTTTGTAGGCTTTATGGTTTTGGAAATTTTGTGATGATGCGTGAGTGGTATTTTGCTTTTATCTATCTATATATAGATAGATAAAAGGCAAATAAAAATAATTTCTAAAAGCTGTAAAGTGCTACCAATGCGTAGCACTGCAAATGCAAAGCACAATAAAACCTAAAGCAGCAAATAATATTTTCTATTAAAATAACAATCAGCAATGGTATTATGTTATAAATCTGTACACCAACTATAAAGCAATTCAATTGGTTTTAAGAAAATGCATATTCACCAATTTCCCCCTAAGAATAATGTGTTTGTCTGAACTTGGTTTAGCTATTGTGACAACTTAGCCACTGTAGTTTATAAACCATAGCTTATACATTAGCTTATTACATAAAACTAGGATTATAACTTCATCAATTAACTATATTTTAAAATGCTATTCCTTATTTAATATATAAAATGAATTATATTTACTTTCCAGTGAAAAAGATAAAATATAGTTGAAGGTTGTTTTCAGGCATTCCCTTAATGTCAAATTTTAAGTTGATCATAAAGAAAAATTACTGCAAAGACTTAGTATTTCTTAATATTACTAAGATTGCTATAGAATACTAATGACAGCGTATAGCATTTTTATACATAAAACATGTTTGAAATTTAGCAATTTGTATTCAGGAACACCTTTTTTCTAAATAAATAACTTACTTTTTCTACATATTCAAACACCAAATACAATTTTCCTCTTCTTCTAAAAGCTTCTTTTAGTTCTACAATATTTTCCTGCTTCAAAGTACGAAGCATTTTAAGTTCTCGTAAAGTTGTCTCTTTGACCTCTTCATTTTCTGTAAGTTGAAGAGTGAAAGATTGTAAAATATATGCAACTCTTTTCCCAAAACTTGTAGAAAACCTCTGTGATTGCTAAGAGCTGACACTGTCTTGATAGCACATAATTAATCAATCTTTAAATCCTGAGAAACAAACTGTCAGCCTAAACCAGTGGTGGGATTCAAATTTTTTTTATTATCAGTTCTGTGGGCGTGGCTTTGCAGTCATGTAAATGGGTGGATGTGGTCAATTTAACAGTCCATTAGACAATACACAGCACCCCCATTTTCTATTCTTCTTTATAATACTGCATGAAGTTTTTGCTCTAGGTTTTTTTTTTTTACTAGGGAGGAGACATTGGCAATGCCTGGGGATTTCTGGGAATTTCTCCTCTGTGTTAGAGGTACCAAAATAACTAAGATGATGTAAGGTCTCCTGCTGAAGCAGGGGGTTGGACTAGATGACCTCTGAGGTCCCTTCCAGCCCTGGATTGCTGTGCTGTTTCAAAGCATCCTCTGAAACTACATCTAGTGCCAGTTTGTGGTCCTTCCTCCCTCTCCTTTTTCTCTCCCTCCCTCCCTCCCTCCATATCTCATTCACTTCACTTCCCTCTTTCTCCCTTCCCTCCCTCTTTCTTTCTTTCTTTTTCTTTCTTTCTCCCTTCCCCCCTTTCTCCCCTCCCCCTTTCTTTTTCTCTTTCTTTCTCCCTTCCCTCCCTTTCTTTCTCCCATCCCTCCCTCTTTCTCCCTCCCTCCCTCCCTTCCTTCCTTCCTTCTCTCTCCCTGCCTTCCCTTTGGATTAAGCTGGTGTATTTACTGCCCCCCCCTTCCCTTCCCTTTCACTATCAGGGACAGGCAGTGGTGGGATTCAAATTTTGCTTCCCCCACCCCATCCTGCCCTGCTGAGTCTCCACAGACTTTTTACTGTGGCAATAAGACCACTTTAGAGACCATCATTATATAGCTATAGGGATTTTGCTCCCTTAAGAGTTCTACTACCTTTTTTCTGCTTCCTTTATGTTAAATAGTCAAATTATTAAGAAAAATCAGTTAAGGAATAGAGCATTAGAGGATGGTGAGAGAGGAACTAGTTTGAAGAAATTAATATTCACTTTGCTTTTATCCAAACAAAAATGTACAATTTGCTGCAAAAATCAAAGGATGGAAATAAATGATTTAGTTGCAAATCAGGGACATTTTTTACATATAAAAATATTTTTAAACATAACCTTAATAGGTTACATTCATGCTAACTTAATTACCTCTACTTCCCACTGAAAATAATGGAAATGTTAATCTTGCCATTTACTTTATTACTTACTTTTTGAAGATCTCCAGAAGAGGCTGGCCCACTGGCAGAGAAGCCAAAGTGTTTTATTCAGATGATGGTGAAGCTGGAAGAACATGAAATCTAAGGAAAACATTCTCACCAGTTTCTGAGTAAAAGACTTCGGCTGGAGCCATGTGGCCAGCAGGCCTAGGCCTGGCCTGGGCCACAGCAACCTCCTGCTTCAGGGATTGAGGCGGAAGCAACAGCCAATGAAACGGAAGGTTGCTTCCTTTGTCTCATTGCGCTGAACTGCAAGGCCCTTGCTGATTGGCTGCCACGCCCCAATCCCTGAAGCTGCTCATTCGTACTAGCCAGTCAGCAGCAAGCAGACTGGGCCCAAACTAAGCCTGACCAGACTGGGTAAAAACTAAGGCTGCAGGCCCTCATGGCAGAGAAGCCAAAGACTTTTATTGAGATTGGGGAAAGCTGTTTTCCTTACATCTCATGTTCTTACAGCTTCACTGCCTTCTGAATAAAAGACTTTGGCTTCTCTGCCACGTGGCTCAGCCTCTTCCGCAGCTCTTCAGAAAGTAAGTACAGTAAAGCCATGGGAAATGGGGTGGGGAGGGCAGATCGGGCCCAGGAACTCTCCATTTCGGCCTGTAAGAAGCCGGAGGAGCCCAGAGAAGACCCGAAGGGGGTCTGGGACGCCTGGATCATGCCCAGGGAGCGTCTATTTTGGCCTTTAACAGGCCAAGGGAGCCTTAGGAAGGCCCTATAAGAGGTGAAGGCTCACCAGACAGGCAGGTAGCGGAGAATGGCAAAGGAAGGTTCGGCAGGGATCTGGACCGCGTGGGAGGCCGGGGCGAAGACAGGCAAGCTGACTAGCCCACGATGACTGTGTGATCAAGACATGCGAGGGAGCCAGATAGAAAGCAGCAGCAACTATGTCGGGTGAGCGGTCAAGATTAAGAGTGACTGGGTGGGGCGGGGCCAGTCAGAATTTTTACCACTGGTTCGCCTGAACCGGCACGTATCGGCTGCATCCCACCACTGGCCTAAGCAGTCTTGTTCAAAATTTCACAGAAAGCAAGTTTCATTCTACACTTCACACTAAACTATGAAATATTTTCTTTTATTTTGGCTTAGTATAATGAAGGTTATTTGGCTAAATCATTTTAACTCAGCCACTATGGATTATTCAAACAAATCACTTAGCTTTGCATAAGTGCCTAGCAATAAATATTTATAATTCTTATAAACTGATTATTTAAGATATCCATCAAAATTATGAAAGACAAATTTAATTTGAATTTCTATTCCCCTTAATAAAAATGCAAAAACACTGTGCACTATTTGTCAATACATTTCATTAGTGTAATGACTACTATATTGATGAAAAAACAATATTACACTAATGTTATTAGTATATTACAACATTTTATCTATGGTGAAATAGTATTTCAAGAATATTACATTTCATCTATGAACAAATACTATTAATAGTGAAAGTTATATGTGGATACTACATAACAATTTATCTATTTAGTATATTATTGTAAGATTAGCTATTATGACAAAATGTTTTATAGCAGAGTAACAGTAAATAATAAATCCCACAATTTATCTTCCTCTTCCAAACTATTCTTCAGCTATCTTATTTTTCAATGTTTTTTTATTTATATTTTTTCATATTTCTTAACTACCCATCTCCCTCAAAGGACACAGTTGTTGAGTTGTATTACTCTAAAATTCTGCCTGAGATAAAGACACCTAAAAAGAATTTTTTGGCATTTTTAAAAGGAAAATACATTATCCAGAAAAAACAGTAAATGCCTTTGTATTTATAGTTCCAGGTCAATAGAGAAATGCTTATTTGTTGTGAAAAATATTATCCCACATGGGGTACTGCACTGAATAGAGAGCTTTTGCTTAAAAGTTATATTGTAATATTGTTAAGCATAAATATTTAAAAAATAGCTTAATCCTGAGTAAATATAATAAAAGAATATTTTTACACTGAATATAAGCTCCTTTTACAAGCATTAATATATTAAAGTTTCCAAACCAAGCCAAAGTAAAATTAAGAGAATAAAGGCCAAATAGAAAGATAGGAAGATAATTTGCATAAATGTTAATCTCATGCTTTTATAAGGAAAATAGCAATCCAGAAGAGGGGTACCAACAGCTCTGGAATTAGGCCTTTGGGGCCAGTCCATACTACTTATAAGACAGAGGGAAAATATTCTTGCTGAAATTAATTTCATTTTTTTTCTTCCATTTAATTGTGTCCAATTTTCAGAGACTACCTGGACAAATCCCTACAGTTCTTTTGATAAGGTTTTTCAGAAGAGGTTTATCATTGCCTCCTTCCTAGGGCTGGGAAACTGATTGTGGTTAAGTGATCACACGGATCATTAAGTGGACTGAGTCCCAGATCAGGAGCATGGGGTGCTTCTGGGGAAGATAATAAGTATGCTGGGGTGCAGAAATGGAACACAGATCTTCAGGATCTGAGCACCATTTCTCCACCCTGCCAAAGAAGCTCACTCAGCCCCCAATAACCAGAGGAAGCCTTCTTGGCAGGCAACATCAGCTTGCCACTTCCCTCCTGGCTTTCCCACTGACGTTCTGGGGAAGCCAGCAGAGAAGATTGCAAATGGCAAATGGCAATCACAAGATAATAGGGCATTTGGCCACTGGCACCCATATCACAGTCACATGACTCTAGGGAGGGGCACATTTTATGATGGTTGGAAGGGCTTTCCAGGCTGCAAAGCACCCTTTCCAAGGCTGTCAGAACTTTAAATGTTTATTAAATGGCCCATCATAAATCAAGGACTACTTGTACACCAAATTGGCTCTCAATCCATTTCAGGTTCAATGCAAAATGAAAGAACATTTGCCAAGAGATCCTCTTCTAGAACTCTTAAAAGTGAAACCAGAATCAGGAGATATTTGCTAGTTATTATTTTTTCAAGGATCTAGAATCATCTACAGTTCAACTATATATTAAGTCATGTTGGTTTTTCTGAATTAAATTTCTGCTGATATGTACACAACACAGAGTAGACAGACTCTGACTCAGTTATCTATATAAGTAATAAATTGCTTATCAGGAAACATTTCAGATTATTCAGATTTTTTCTGGATATATAGCAATCAAATCACAATGAAATATGTCTGAAACATGCTAATACCATACTAAGAATAATTTTAAAATGCTGACTATATTTTCTAATGAAACAGAAGCTCATTAATACATTCAGTGTTTATGACTGTAATCTCACATATTTGGAGGTGCCAAGTTGAGAAAGGTCTGAACAAATACAGACATGTAGAAAGCTTGCATATTAAGGACTATCTCCAGCATCTGTCCAATAAGTTTTGAAATAAAACTCTAATCTCTTCATAGTTGATATGTTGACACAGAACAATAAATTCTTAAACTCCTACTATCACTATTCCAAATCATGGATAAGAACCCATTAATTTTAAAAGTAAATGCACTATATTCAAATAGAAACAAGTACCTTCACTGTCTTTGAATTTTTTAATGGCCACAATTTCATGTGTCTCCTAAAAAAGAAAGAAAAAATATGTTCACCAGAAAGGATAGTCATATTTTTAGTAAATACCTGAACCCATATTGTGCTACAGATCTATATTTTGTCTATCAGTTTTACCTTACTGGCATCTAGTTCTCTCTTAATTTTTGAGGCAAGAATCAAATTTAGTCAGGAAATCTGCTCCTACCTTCTAGAGGGAAGACAGACGCTTGGCATTAAATTTTCTGTAAGAGCCTACTCCTTACCTTCATCCACCTTTGCAACTGAATTACATAAATTATTTTAATACTGGTTCTTATAACAGAATGCTTAGTTAAGGTGATAATTGATCATTCAGATTGATCTTCAGTAGTTCAGCACAGACCAATAAAATTAATACTTGGCTGGGAAGAGATCAAGGTTGTGAAGAGCCAAACTTGATTCAGAAGGGATTTTATTTTTATTTCTAACAGGAAACCATCTTCATTTTTTTCTATCTAAGACATTTGGAAAAATCACTGTACAAAAAAAAGTTTAAATCCACAATGTGTTAAAGATTGATGCTTACAAACACTTTTTAATTTTTTCTTTCGTTTTCATTTATCTATTGTTCAAAGCAAATATCGCTTTCTTGAGCCGGAAACTAGATTTACACTTGTGAATGTTTTGTTTGTAAAATAGATACAGTAATAAAATACTATCTTGCATTTATCCTCTCAAGATAGCGTGCTGAATGGCAGGGCGATCTTTTTCTTATGTGATGATCAGCTGATTCTTTTGCCAAAGCTGGCTCTTAGGCGGCATTGCTCCCCAGATTTGAACAGGGGCACCTAGGATTGATCCAAAGTGACTTTTGGATAGCTATGGACCCACCTGAGAAGACAAATCTTGAAGATTGCAGCTTCTGGTAGGAGAGGCCGGAAAGTCAGGATTCCATCTTTTCCTATCAACTGATCGCCTTGGTTTTAACTGTTTTGAAGTTTCTTTTGTATTTTCTTTTTTATTCTTAAAAGTTAATGGACTAATGGTTGAATGCTAATTTATTCTAACCCCTTGCCAGATTTTGACATGAATTTTTCTCTGTTCTTTCTTCGTTTCACTTTGCTGCTCTCAATAATTTTCACTTTTCTCTCTATGGAAATCACCGTAATTTTCTGGGTAGTGAAAGAAACTGGATTTACATTTATACTGGATTTCCACTACAGAGACTTTGCATTTTATCACTCTCAAAAAGTTTTGGTCTTATTTTTAGATCAAAATTTTCCCCTTTTTTCTTTACCTATTAAGGTTCTTTTGCAACTATCCTGTTAATTACATTTAACTCCCCTAATGTTAGCCTGCTGCTAGCTGCCATGTTGGTGGAGTCAGTGGAGAATTTTTCATTGCAGCTTTGCAACTACGGTCTGGGCTTTGCTTATCTCTCCAAGGTCATTTCTTCTAGCTTTGGTATGCAGCAACCAGAGTTGCCTAGCTACTACGGAGTTGGTCTCTATAGTTTGTTTCAATTTGCTGTGCACCCTTTTTGCCTGAGATTTTCCCTGAAACTTGTTGCATTCAGTTCTCTCCTAGTAAAAGCGGAGGGTAGACAATGCTCCAGCTTAAAGGTAAAGCCCTTTGAGAAGACTTGGGGGAAAATAACCTACAAGTTCAAATTGAAGACTTTGATAAAATGTTTGATAACATAACAATGATTTTAAATCAACCTAAAGAGGATACCTAGTTACAAGCAACTGAAGCCAAACCAGACTTATAACAGGAGCTTGGTTTGAAAGTGGTGAATGTATTTGAGAAGGCTAAAAGAATTGGAGTTGATAGATTGATGAGTGATAAATTGGATTTTCCTAAGAAAATTGATGGAAATTGGAGAATGGACATATTATATCCAATTGGAAAACAACTTCAACTAGATTTTTGGGGGGGAGGATGGATGTTATGTTTTTGTTTACACAGAGATTTTTTGAATGACAGAAGCTGTGTAGATACTCATAGCAAACCTTTATGACTTTGGGGAAGTTTAAAGAAAAGCTTTGTTATTAAGAAGTAAACAAGGATATTTGATCTTGGACAGATCAGAGATAACAGCTGTGGTACTTTGTAATAGATAAAAAGCTGTAGTAGACTTTCTACAACAGGGGTTTCAAACTCAAGGCCCGCGGGCCAGATCTGGCCTATGGGGTACTTAAAATCTGGCCTGTGGGGACGGCCTGCAAATAGCAAAGAACCAGCCCGCAGTGCCTCTGGCAACCAAAATGGGGTGGGGAGCACTCACAACCCCCCCCCATGCCCCGCTTTGGCCGGCAGGGTGCTGCAGGAGACATCCATCCTGTCTCCCCACTCCCAGCCGGCCCATGGAGAACTACAATGCTGATCCCGTCCTTGAAGAAATCTGTTCTACAAGTTAAATACAATAATAGAGTGTTAACAGATGATTTTGGCATTGCTTTACTGTAAACTGCTTTGCTTTTATAAATTTAGATAAAAATGATAGGTCAAATAAGTTGCAAATATATGTAGAAGTTTATAAATTTGCGGCCTGCTTCACAATGGGGGAAATTAACATGGTTGCCATATATTTATAAGTATTCAACAACTGGAGGGATTGTATATGAGTTTTTGTTTTTTGTCCTTTTTAGCGCACTTTTTTCAATGTTTTATTTTATTTTTTTGTAAAAACATTGTTTAGTATTACTGAGAAAGAATATACTATTTTGCACTTATCCAAAGGAAGGAGGAGCTTGTATTAAGATTTATTTACTACCAAATAGGAGATAAAAGAATAAATGTCCACTAACAAAAATCCTATTGAATTCTCCCTATCAATCTTGGATTGCCAAGTCCAATTTATAACTGAAGAGGTTCTTATGCCTGATTAATTTATCCGTATGTATTCTTTAATATATGTCTGCAAGAAACAATACCCTAAAGAAAAGAAATGAGAAGAAGAAAAAAGAAATACTAAAGAGGACTAGGATAAAAAATACATTACCGTATTTGCCGGCGTATAAGACGACTGGGCGTATAAGACGACCCCCCAACATTTCCACTCAAAATATAGAGTTTGTTATATACTCGCCGTATAAGACTACCCCCTCTTCCACACACCTTCCACTTTTGCACTTTTTTTTTTTTTTTGACGCACTTTTCTGCTTTGGACAATTTTGAAATGAGCTAATCCAATTTTGAACCAAGAATATGCAAATAGCTATGGAGTTTAGAAATGAGTTTTAAAAATATTTTTCATTGCTTACCATTAAGCGTAAAATATGTTGTAAATAAAATGAGAACACAGGAAACGTTCTCTTCTCAATACAGCTGATCTCTCTCTCTCTCTCTCTCTCTCTCTCACACACACACACACACACACACACACCAAAAACCCGGACACTGAAAAGGCTGCCAAGGAACAGTATATTCAATGCCTTCTCTTTAATCAAGAAACAAGGAATTCCTTAGAATCTTTCTTTTTCCCCAAGTGGCCCTCTTTAAAAAAAAATATGGAGGTAACACTTTCATTCAAAAAGTCTTCCAGTATCTGGAGTCGCTCAGACATATTGAAGTGAGGCAGGAGAGTAAGTGAAATTTGAAATGATCCAGCTACCGTTTTCTTCCCCTCCCGCCCGAAGGCCATTATCTCCACGTCAAAACGAACGAGGGGAGGCAAAGAAGCCAAACACGCTAAAAAGGATCTCTTTATTTTCCTACACAAGGTCACACCTACTTTTCCGCATTCAAAGGACAACCTCTCCTCACCACCACCACACACACACACACACCCCAATACCCGCAAACAATGTTCTGGGCATTAATCACCATTGCTACATTAACCTGGTAAATTTATACCCTGCCTCCCCCAGTGTTGCTTTGACGGCAGGATTTCACACAGCGGGGCGCTCGCTCGCTCTCTTCTCCGCTCTCCCACCGTTCGCACATGTTGGAAGCACCGTAAAACCTGATAACCCACCCGGGGGCTCCCCCATCCTTAACCTACAGCCGCCCGCATGCAAAACCTGCGTGCAAAAAGAAAAAAAGAAAAAGAAAAGTACGCTGCACGTGAGGATCTTCGAATCCTCTCCTCCCCACACCGCTAAGGAAGGAAGAGGGGGAAAGGTTGCGCAGCGCGTGGCGAGTGACACCCGCCACACACACACACACACACACACACACACACACACACACCGCTCCCCCCCCCCAGCCTCCCTCCCGGCTGCAACTCAAGCTCGAAGTGGGAGTCGGAGTCCTCCCGGCGTATAAGACGACCCCCCCACTTGGAGGCATGTTTTTCAGGGCAAAAAAGTCGTCTTATACGCCGGCAAATACGGTAATCCAATTAATAATTGCTAACTAAAATTAAGTTCTTTGACTAAGGATCCACTTATTTACTTGCTTCATCCTGACCCAGATCTTTGGTGAGGGAGACTGAGTTCCTTCATTTCTTTCTGAGTTCCTTCATTTGTTATCTTTGTTGTTTATGTTTTGTTAATTTTACTGTAAGTTTTTAGATTGCTGTGAGCTGCCCAGAGTCACTGAGAATTGGATGACATACAAGTTTAATGAATACTATTATCTGCATGTATCAGATGATCTTTCTCTTACACATAAAACACTCTTGCACCACAGATGTATGTAGGTATACACACATTCATGCAGAAACTCCTTTCTGCAGATACAAAAAAAGGGAAAGTAACAGGATAAGATAAATTAAGAGTGGGAGATAACTGCACTGGACACATAAAAAAAGAAATGGGAAATAAGATGAAGTGATGGGAAGAACATAATAGGGAAAGATAGGCATTATAGAAAGAGTAAATTTGCCAGGCAAACAGCCCCTTCCCGCAACAGCAGCTAATCTTCAGGTTGATCTTTAATACATTCTGTGTCATTCAGACAATATATTTTATGGAATATAGATTTATTGAGAATATAGATTAATATTATCTTTATATTTAAAAAATAAAACAAAGAACACTGTACATTATTCACAAAGCCTAGAATGTAGAATGCCAATTTAGCCAAAGTTTTAAAGTAGAAATTCAGGTTTTTGAACCAAAACTTTCAAAAGCATCTTTTTAGATTGGGTTTAAAAATAATTAGTTTAACAGAAAAAATAATTTAAATACAACAATTTTGGTATAATTGTCTACAGCAGAGTTGGATCATTGAGACTAAGGCAAAATAATAGTTTTCATAATGAAAATTAGCTTCCCTTTTCTTTACAATTGAGCAAATTTCTCTTTTTCGGCAACAAACAATAATTTGCCATAATTAATCTGTAACCCATGACAACAAGAAATTATATAAAAACCATGGATAAGGATTTTAAATGAAGGGTCAAACTATAGATAGATTTAAACAAGGAAAGGGAAGAAACAGATTCTCATTCAGAATGAACAGTACACAAGCCAGGGCAACTTTCAGGCATATGAAACCAAACCATGGTCTGGGAAAACCAAAACACAGATAATAAAGCACAACATAGATTGTTTTACTTACCTTGTGTCTGCACTTAAGCACAACACCATAGGCTCCTATAGCCCAAAATTAAAAAAAAACAAATTTCAACATTAATACGTACATTGTAGAAAGTATTATATGTATATTTTAAAAGGCAAATATAATAATAATAATAGTAATAATAATAGTAATAATAATAATAAATCATTATTAATAATAATAATTTGCATACATTTGTCCTTAAAGCCAGAATTGAGAAGATAGCAACAGACAGTAAGTGCCACCTATGCAAAGAAGTCGAAGAAACAGTGCACCACCTGGTAAGCTGCTGCAAGAAGATTGTACAAACTGATTACAAGCAGCGGCATGACAAAATAGCAACAATGGTGCATTGGAAGATCTGCAAGAAATTTCATTTGCCTGTAAGCAAGAACTGGTGGGACCATAAAATAGAAAAAGTCATAGAAAATGAAGTTAAATTGTTCTGGGACTTCACAATCCAGACAGACAGGCACCTGCCACATAACACCTCGGACTTAATAGTTGTCAATAAGAAAGATAAAAAAAGTCTGGATAGAGGATGTGGCAGTGCCTGGAGACAACAGAATAGAACAGAAAGAAGTGGAAAAGATAACAAAATACAAAAACCTACAAATAGAAATAGAACAACTATGGCAAAAGCAAGCAATAGCTATATGTACTTGGGGATATGCAGCAATATATCCTAAATGGTAAGATAAACACAATAGAACTAAAAAAATTTCAACAGTATATCTACCCCTTAGTTATCCACTCATATCCACTCATGACTTACCAAAAACAGGATTTGTATTAAGAACCAACATTATTTTTTAAAAAATAGGTGCTTGCAGAGGCATGGAAACTACAAAATCTTCTGTGAGATTTTTGAAACTCAGCATTATAATACAGCTCCAAACTCAGTTGGACAAGCAATCAAGATCTCTTCTTGATTTCGAAAATCTCACATATAAAAAGGCTTCAAAGGAAGAAAGAAAGCTCTCATAAGATTAGAAAACTGTAATATAAAGACTTAAAGCCTTTATGATAGAAAAAATGCTGTTCCATTCAATTTTATTTTGTCCTACTATAATATCAGTCATTTAGATTTTCCATTTTGGTTATATATCAGGAATTAATGTGGTCAAACAGCAGAAAAAAATGAGTCTATCATGCCATATCAATGATCAGAAAAATTGTATGTTTCTAGCCATGGCAAAACAAAAACTGCATTCTGTAATCAATGTCTCACCTACTTCTTTCTAGTTATGCTCACATCTCTTCTCAATCCCCAATTAAATTTATTCAGGAATATATGCTTACCTTCACCTACAACCCCAAGGATCTCAAATTTATTCATCACATTACCAATATTAGGAATCTTCATGAAGACAAATTCCTCATGGAACACCAATTGTACAACATGGCCAGAGAAGAGCAAGATATTTGCAGAAGTCAAGTCTGTAATGGTTGGTAGGCTTTAGCACATTTATGTTCTAAGTTTGTAAAGAGATTCCTGCAAAGAAAATAAACATATAATTGGCATGAGGTAAAATAATTTCACAAGATTTGTACTGAATGTACAACAGTACCTATATTCAATACATTCAATACATTTGATTAATAGTTTTATTATAATGTACAAGCCATCAAAGACTATAACCACCACCAAGGTCTAATGCAGTTTACACCAGGATTTTAAATATATAATGCATAAACCAGAAGGACAACATTCTTTCATGTAGTCCATCTTCAAAAAAAAAAGGGGGGGGAGGGGGGTGGAACAGGGAAGATACTGGAAAAAATAATCAAAAAAACAGATCTGTGAATATCTAGAAACAAATAAAGTTATAATTAACAGCCAGCATGGGTTTGTTAAAAACAGATCATGCCAAACGAATCTTATTTGATTCTTTGATAAAGTGACGAAATGCTGTAGACATAGTATACTTAGAATTCAGTAAGGCATTCGACAAAGTAGACAACAACCTACTTTCTGATAAACTAGAAAAATGTGGGATAAACAGCATCACCAACAGATGGATATGTAACTGGCTGACAAACCATACTCGATGAGTAGTACTTAATGATACTACATCAACATGGAGGGAAGTAAGCAGTGAAGTACCACAAGGTTCCGTCTTAGGTACAGTACTCTTCAATATCTTCATAAATGACTTAGATGAGGGAATAGAAGGGAAACATCAAATTTGCAGATGACACTAAGCTGGCAGGAATATCTAACATCCCAGAAGACAAGCTCATGATCCAAAAAGATCTTGACAGACTTGAACAATGGGCCCTATCCAACAACATGAAATTTAATGTGGAGAAAAGCAAGGTTTTATACCTAGGTAGGAAAAACCAAAGGTACAAGTACAGATTAGGGGAAACCTGGCTCAAAAAATAGTAACTGTGAGAGGGACCTTGCAATCCTAGTGGATGGTCACTTAAACATGAGCCAGCAGTGCACGGCAGTAGCTAAAAAAGCTAATACAATCCTTGGTTGTATAAACAGAGACACAGAATCAAAATTACATGAAGTATTAGTACCGGTTTATGAAGCCGTAGTAAGACCATACCCGGAATACTGCATCCAGTTTTGGTTATAAAAAAGATGTTGAGACTTTGGAAAAAGTGCAAAGAAGAGCAACTAGGATGATTAAGGGTTTGGAAACAAAAACATGAAGAACGGTTGCAGGAATTTGGTATAGCCAATCCAGAGAAAAGAAGGACTAGGGTGATATGATAGCAGTATTCCAGTATTTGAGGGGCTGCCACAAAGAAGAGGGGGTCAACTTTTTTTCCAAAGCACCAGAGGGCAAGATAAGAGACAATGGATGGAAACTAATCAAGGAGAGAAGCAACATGGAATTTAGGCAAAACTATAGGTGTTTCATCACTTGAGGTTTTTAAGAAAAGACTGGACAACTACCTATCTGAAATGGTATAGGGTCTCCTGCTTGAGCAGCAGATTGGACTAGAAGACCTCCAAGATCCCTTCCAGCTCTATTCTGATTGAAAGCTGAAAGCCTGGAAACTCTGTTAAGAATTATCATACAGTACTATGTTTTTTTTTCTGGTTTTCATGCTACCTTGTATTTAATGCCAGCTTGCTTATCAGAACAGGCAGATGAAATCCAAACTGGTACAAAAATATTTTAGCATTATCTCGTTGTTCTTTAAAAAAAATATTAAAACAGGTTTTACTATATTTCTCTCTGGATTATAGAGATAGTTTCTAGATTGCATTTATAGGCAAACAGTTGAATATCTATATTTATTATTGCTAAGTTGTATATGATACACAAACATATTTAACAACTATGATTCAATGCATATAAATAAACTGTAACAGATAAAGCCCCCTGCCCCATTATTTCCAGGCAAGAAAATCACATTCAAGAAAATAATTTTCCATAAATTTATTATTTAAATCAAGGGATCTTCAAATCACAATTCAGCATTTTTGAAATGTGAAATAAGATTCTTAATGTCTATGTCTTCAGATAGTATACTGTATACATGCACCAATGTAATGTTTGCCATATAAGGCAGTAGCATATATGTAAACAATAAATTAGACCAAAAAAGTTTTGTTTGTCTTTGAATCCATAAATATTAACCTTTTAAAATGTGTCCATCTTTTGGGGTAGATCCTACAGTATAATAGTTAATCATTTTTTTTTTTATTATTGGTTAACCTCCTTTATTCATTACCATGGAATAATTATTCCATAACAAATGTTTAGTGTATCACTTGAGTGAGAAATAATGTTGTGAGCAGAATGGGCCAATGTTGCTGCTAAATGCAAATTTGGGAGATGAAAACTCAATGATTTCATCCAAAAGGAAAATATTCCAGAAATAAAAGAATTAATAAAAGAATTCCAGAATTAATACTGGAATCTTAGTAGACATAGAAGGTCAATGAAATGGCTAGTTATAAGTTAATAATCAGTCGTGAGCAATTTTAAGGGAAGTATCAGCAGTGGAAGAGAGAATCACTAGGAGACTTGATACTGATTGCTGCAAGAGCAGATATAAAAGAAAGAAAGCCTTAGGAAATAAAAAATTAAGTCACTGGCAATATTAGGAGGCCATTCTAAAAGTGGATAGTTTAGAACAGGGGTGTCAAACTCGTGGCCTGCAGGCCAGATTCTTCATGTGCTGGTCAGGCACACCCCTGGTTTAGCAAAGGGGAAAAATAGTTGTGATACGTCACGCAATGACAATGTGATGTCGCAAGTTTGACACCCGTGGATTAGAAAAAGATGAAGCTGATTCACCGACCTGAAAAAACATCAGAGATGAATTTTTAGTAAGGCAGTTGTTTGTAGGGTAGTACTTGTGTCAAAAATTATTCAAAATTGTGTTTTAGAGTGTTCACAAGAACATCATTTCTTTCAAACAGCTAATTTTTTTAGATTTCTGAAAATTATATTTGAAAATTTCAGCAAGTTAGTGAGCAAACCCTGTTCTGTGCTTCCAATTCATCTTTCTTTCTTAGGATCATGGCTATTGTTTTTAGCATTAAATAAACAGTTAATATGCGCCTTGGTTGACACATTGTCAGTCAAAACCAGGATGTCCTTATCTGAGACTGCGTCCTCTAAGTGCCTTAAGGCCAGATGGACCACCAAAAGCTCTAGCCAGTTAACATGCGGAAAAAAATTCAAATGTCAAGTATACAGTTTGGTCAGACAATACTGCAAATGTGTCCAAAATGGGAAGAAATTTAAAACATGAAGAAACTACCAAGTTAATAAAATACAGTTGTAGTGTTCATTTGATGCACCTCCTAGCCAAAGATTTCTGTGTCCCAGAAATAGAGTAATGTTGAAATTACTAAATACTTCCATAACAATCATTTTGCAGCATCAGCTCTGAAAATAATGGGTGGAACCAAGCTAACGCTCCCACAAGATGTAAGATGGAACTCTGTAGTGGACTCTTTTGAACAATATATAAAAAATTGGCCTGTTTTGATGACAGTTGGTGAGCAAAATAAAAAAAAAAAAATAGATTGTACTAACACACCCAAAATCCTCAACAATGGGCTTAAGAGAAATGTTGAACATGTGCTAAGCATCCTGAAACGCCTTTCTGAAGCTTTAAACAAAATCCAGAAAAATAATTGTTTTATTGCCAACGCTGTTGAAATTTGGAAGGAACTGAGTGAGCACTTAAATCAGAACTACACACTGACAAGAAGAAATTACAAGATTTAAAGAAGTAAATGGGACAAGCACTGTGCCCTGCTCATTTTCTCACAAACATTGTCAATATCTGGTACCAGGGTCAAATCTTAAAGTGCTGAAAAGAATCCAAGATGGTGGCGCATGTAGACACTTGCGGCTTTGAGCTCCTGGTGTTATAGTGGAGTGAGTGGGCAAAAACTAGTCTATATCCATGGGGAGTTACTAAAGATTGGATCTTCTAGTCAACTAGATATTACCAGCGACTTCCAACAGTCTCATAATATACCAAATGACATAGTAAGACTGCTGGGCTCTCTATGGATCATTGTTGGGCCTGGGAGGCGGCACCGACGGCGAAAAAAGCAGAAGTAGAGATAGGGATGCAGAGCTGGTTTGCTAGCTCAGTTATGGAAGCAGCCTCACAGACAAGCATTACCAAGTATTTTTCTAACCAACGCTAGATCCATTGTCAACAAAACTGATGAACTGGAGCTATGGATGGCGGCAAATAAGCTCATTCGTGATGCTGTATGATGATCATCAAGGAGACCTGACTTCATCCACTTGTACTGGATGCGTCAGTGGAGCTAATTAACCGCATCACACACCGCTTTGACAGAAACGGCAACTCCGGTAAAAGCAAAGGTGGAGGACTTTGTATTTACACACATAATGACTGGTGTACTAACAGTAGAATTATTTCTACACTTTTCTCCAGATGTGGAATTAATAACTGTCATATGTAGGCCATTTTACTTACCTAGAGAGATTTCTATGATGGTTATCACCATTGTCTATATTCCATCTGGTGCAAATGTTAGCACAACGTTCTCTAAGCTACATGATGCCATCGAGAGGCAGCAGCAAACTTACCCTGAGGGCACTTTTCTCATGGCTCAGCAAAACCCCTTTTATTAAATGAAGGTGAATTTCTTGCATTCACATTCATTTATTTAGCTTGGAGAGCTGCCAAGTAAATATTTTCAATTGCAATGCTGACAAGGAAGGGCTTGGCACAGAGTCTCTGAGATGCACAGACAGATCTTCACACTGCTGCAACGAACGAATGTTTCCTGCAAAAGCCCCCTCCCTTTTTGCTCCTCTTTTAATACCTATGGAGGGGCCATTCACCGTCCTCCTGTGGCTTTACTACCTTAGTTCATAACTGTTCTTTTCTTTTGGAAGTTCTGAGCATGCACATGCTGGGAACCATCTCCAGCTGCTCCCCCACCTCACTGCTCACCTCCGAAGGCAGCTGATAATTGCAAGACTGCCCTGGCCCCATCTCTGCCTCTGATGCAGAACCTCTGACCAG